TAGATACTACATGTAGACCTTTCTCAGATTTGTTCATTTCGTGATGATATCTTGGATTCTATAATTTTGGTGAATATTTTTGTCATATTTGGTAAAAAGTGATATTTTCGACTTCTTGTTAAAAACCAAAAGTTCAATTGCTTTGATATTACATATATAGATACTACATGTAGACCTTTCTCAGATTTGTTCATTTCGTGATGATATCTTCAATTCTCTAATTTTGGTGAATATTTTGATCATTTTTGGTAGAAAGTGATATTTTCGACTTCTTGTTAAAAACTGTAAGTCCGATTGCTTTGATACTATACATATTGTTCATTTTCTGATGATGTCTTCAGTTCTTTAATTGAAATGTGCATTTCTAACAGCGGAGCTATCTCAGCCGGTAGGCTGCTTGTTTGCTGTTCTATGGCTGTTGCACTGATGTCTAAAAGCCATTCATTGGATTTCAATGAAACTTTTAAAGAGTACCCATCACATTTCAATGAACCTAGGACTATACACCATATTAGTTTTTGGTAAATATTTATGCTTCTTAATCACCTAATTAATATAATTAATTAATACTGATATCTCAAGTATTGATCATCACATTTGAATAAAACTTGGTACATAAGTGCTCTAGGACAATAGACAGCCTGATTATTTTTGGGTTAAAATCTGTTCATATTAATTCTCTAATTAGCATAATAATTAATATTATTTTGGTTCTAATCACATTTCAATGAAACTTGTTACATTGTGCAGACCTTATTAGTTTTACACTTAAATCTGTTAATATTAGTTACCTAATTTGCATAATTAGTTTTCTGCGTTTCCATCAACATCTCACGTTCAAGTAATTTTGAATTAATTTTGAATGTGTCTACAATACTCTCAGCACACGGGAGTTCTTTCTAAGATTTCTTTGATTTGCATTGTGTTTTGTCTTAAAACCAACAAGGATAATAGAATGATGGTCCAGTGGCCAACATCCTGTGTGTATCATAAACAAATAGAATAGTGCTGGTCGCCAACTTTTTGTCCTAGTCGGAAATTCTGAGTGCTGGTCGCTAGCGACCGGCGGTGACCAGCGTGGGCAGATCCCTGAAAGGTACCTTACAGTATAACAAGAGTTATAGTGTGATTATACATTTATACTTCATCTAGAAATAACGTTTCTCTTCTGTACCCTTGTCAGTGTTGGTCACTTTGTAGTAAAGCATGTGATCATGCCAGCATTATGGATATTGTCAACAATTATAATATTTGAACTCTCAATATTTTCCAAATGAGTGAGATGATAAGTAAGATGGTGCATTGTTTATTTTCAAGCATGCTATATATTAAATTGCTCAGTACTATGGAAAATTCTATAATATTTGAAATTGCAGTGTTAGATTCTTTAATTGGGCAATAATATAGTTTGTACCTACGAGACAAAAATATATTATTTCTACTTCTTGCATACCACATTGTGTTGTGTTTATATTCTACAAAATGTTTGCTTTAAAAATTTAAACTTGATTGAAGCATAAAGCTTGGATCTCTATGATTTATGTCTAATAATTAAATAACTGTTCGTGTGTAGCATAAAACAGGCTTTAATTATTTTAGCTATAAACTTATTTTAATTTTATTTTTTATTACTTTTGTTATTAATAATTTGTTATTTTATTATCTTACTTTGATTTTGATTTTGTGATTTTTTTTCAATTCCGCCCTACATACATCTGACCCAATGCCTATGTAACGAGATTTCAACAAGACCCACTATCGACGATTTTAGTCAACGAATCACAGACCTCCTTCTATAGCGCACATGATGACGTCACCGGGCAGAGTCAGGTGGCAAACATACTCAAATAAAATGGCGGATTATACCGATGTTAGCGACCGAGAAAAACACGGCTTTTCGGTAGGTTTATCATTGTCAAATGCAACGAAAGTCATTTTTTATGTTTATATTGTGGCTCGAATGGTTCGAGTTTAAATCATTATTTTGCGTAGTTATTCTGGGAGTGACGATTTTGTTTCCACCGGTTCGACCTAACATCGGTGTCTTTTTCCAGTCGCTGAGGAAGGCGCGACATTGCACTTTTTAACGTTATCATATTATCGTCTAAAAATGTCAAAGTTAGACAAGTCTGTCTGGGCAACTATTGGGACAGTTCGTTTTTTCTCCGATATTATCGATAATATCGTCTAACAATGTCTAAAATGTCTAAGTTAGACAGGTCTGTCTGGGCAACTATTGGGAGAGTTCGTTTTTTCTCCGATATTATCGATAATATCGTCTAAAATGTCTAATGTCTAATAATGTCTAAGTTAGACAGGTCTGTCTGGGCAACTATTGGGACAGTTCGTCTTTCTCCGATATTGTCGATAATATCGATAAAATCGTCTAACAATGTCTTAAAATGTCTAAGTTAGACAGGTCTGTCTGGGCAACTATTGGGACAGTTCGTTTTTCTCCGATATTATCGATAATATCGTCTAACAATGTCTAAAGATGTCTAAGTGAGAAAGGTTTGTGTGGGCAACTATTGGGACATTTCGTTGTTCTTCGATATTATCGATAATATCGTCTAACAATGTCTAATAATCTCTAAGTTAGACAGGTCTGTCTGGGCAACTATTGGGACAGTTCGTTTTACTCCGATATTATCGATAATATCTTCTAACAATGTCTAAAGATGTCTAAGTGAGAAAGGTTTGTGTGGGCAACTATTGGGACATTTCGTTGTTCTT